AGCGAAATCCGAATAAAAGGATGCAAGACAAAATTTTAACATTTAATCTTCACACTTTCCACACCATAACACATAATCTTCACACACGCCAAAATTACAATGCCTTTCAAAAGACCTAATTTTTCAAAAGGGACAAATACTTGGTATTTCAAAATTGATTTCACAACATACACCTAATCTTCTATATGAAGAAAACACAATAATTAATACTAAAAATACAGGGAAATCCGAATGAAAGGATGAAGGAATGAAAATTAAAAACTGAAGGAGAAGAGAAAATGATTAGCGACATCAAAGATTGCCACTACTAATCGCCAAGGAATCATGGGCGAAGGACTGAGGACGCATCATCGCCGGCGAATGGAAGGAGAGACCGTGGAGTTCAATAGCGTGTGAGAGAACGGAAGGAGAGATTGGAGTTGAATGCCGTAATTTTTAATGAAAAAACAGAAAAAGGGGTAAAGGGTATGATAGGAAAGGATTGACACCATAAATTGCTATGTTTGTTAAAAACAATGAGTAGTGCTTAATGCGTAATTTAGGGTGAGTTAGAATGCTATGTAGGGTGATTTCTTTAATAAAAATGACAGTTACTTACCTTTTTTAATTGAGTAAATTTCATAATTAGTCCTTTATAACAGGGGGGTTTCCATATTTAGTTCTCTATTATCAAATATTACCCTCGTAGTTCTTTTTTAAAGGTGTCTTTCCACAAATGGTCTTTTTTTGATCTTCTTCCATGTTGGTATTAAATTAAAATCTAAAAGTATAATTTGATATCAGCATTATGTCTAGTCACGTGTTCTGATATTGGTTAAGCGGGTAACACAAAAATAATGACTATGATTGTGGGCTAGGATTCCGACGAAAAACCACACTTGTAGACTATGGTTGTAGAAGAAAGCGGATGTTATTCACAAACGACGCAAACGGTATAGCCTTTGGAATTGTGTATGGCAAAAAAGATATATTATTATTGTGAAATTACACTTTTAGCTCTCAAGTTAACACCAACATGATAGAAGATAAAAAAAAGGACTATTTGTGGAAAGATATCCATAAAAAAGGACCACTAGAGTAATATTTGATAATAGATGACTAAATAGGGAAACCCCCTATTATAAAGGACACTCTTTTTAATTATTTCCAATTTTCAATACGTAAATTATTATAAATTTTTAATACGTTAATTATTATAAATATAATAATTATAACTTCACAATTTCGGCCACTTACCATTTTAACTTCACAATTATTAACTTACCTTTTGGCCATTTTAACTTACTTTTCTCTTCTTTAAGTGAAATTTGTCCTAAATAGGATTAAAACATAATCACTTTCTAATGTAGGACTTAAACTTTTTTATTCCCTAAATAGGACTTAATAATGACTTAGTGGGAGGAATAATGTCCAGTAATAATGGAGATTACTTGAATAATGACTACTTTATAATGACCAAAGGTCCTACATTGGAAAATAAAAACATATGGTCCTATATTAGAAAAGTCATTATGTTTTAGTCCTATTTAGATAAATTTCTCTTCCTTTAATTATTATAAGTATAATAATTATAATAATTGTTACTATAATTTCGGCCACTTATCATTTTAACTTCACAATTGCCATTTGTAATTGTCATATTCTTTGGGTGGAAAAATCATATGTTGACTCCATGTCTTTTTAAATAAAGTGTATATATATATATATATATATATATATATATATGTATATATATATATATATATATATATATATATATATATATATATATATATATATATATATAGGATCTTAAAATTTTTAAAAATAAAATTGAATAAGTTGTAAATTTAAACCCATCCCACTAATTTGCCAACTGTATATATACGTAGCAGTACGGGGTACATCACGTCACTGTCGTACATGTCAGAGTTACCGGGCAAAAACCCGGCAATGCTACCGGAACCGGAACCACGTTCTAGGGTTCAACCAGCGAAGTCGCCGCCGACGTATTCTGGCGTAGAGACTTTGAGAATCTACTGGCTCCCTCTAACGCTCTTCGCAGCTTCGCTCTGTTTTCAGCTCCTCGTTGTTCCCCACTTTTTCCCTTCTTCCCATTACGACGGTAAACCAAGCTCCGCCACTCGGTCACGGCGTTTGCATATTAATTGACTTTGCTAATCTCTTTCTTTTCTTTAATTTACCTTTTGTGATGCTTTTGTTGTAGTTTTGGGGATCAAACGGTATAGCTCGATTGAAGAAGTAACTAAAGCATACGAAAAGCTATCCTCCAAGTGGTAATCTCATTGTTGTTGTTTTTTTAAGCAATGTTAAGTTTGCAGTTTGCACTTATTTATATTTATAGAATTTTAACTATAATAATATTGAAAAATGTTGTTAATGGTTTGTCTTTTGTTCAAATTCCTTTCTTGTACTCATTATACTCTACCTACTACGGAGTAGTATTTTTATAATCAAATAAATGCTTCAGCAGCACCAGCATTTGAATACACTAATGGATCATAAGATCATTACAATTTTCATATTATAACTTTGTAATCATTGTAGGAGCTCAGGTGTGGATGCTGATTCCACGGACAATTTCATCAAGGTTTGATTCAAGAAGTTGAATTGCTAAGTTTTAATATTTTTAAATGGATGAGTATGTACTCCCTCCATTCCATATTAACTTTCCATCTTGTTTTAGCATGTCAAACTTTGATACACAATGGCATAAACTATAAATTTATACCATATTAGTTTTTTTGAAAAATACTTTTATTATAGGGCTCCGCAATTTATGGTC